TGCTCACCACAAATTACAAAAAAAACTATTTTGATTTGTTTCAGCTGCTGTCGCGCGAAAGTCCGTCACATACCACAGTATTAAGCCCCAGGCGTGAGAGATATTCGCTCTAGATCAAGGATGCGGGAACGATGGGGAGCAGCGGGGGCAGTTTGCCCCCCCCCCCCCCCCCCCGCCAGCCAACTTGGACGGCCTGTGGAATGTGGAAGGCCCATTCTGGCATGGGAGGGGCCGATTCAGAACTGTAAGATGATTGTACCAGCCTTAAAAAGTACATTTTGACCTTTCGATGGCTCCATTCTGGCCTATATTTAAGACCAATCTACCCCAAAGAGGAAACACAGATGGATTACGCAGAAGGCCGATTTCTGGCTGTAGAAGGACTCAATAATCGTCTGTGGGGGCCCACTCCGACCGCTTGGGGTCCCTCATTCTGATCTCTGTAGATCGTCCTATTAGTGAATGGAGGACCTATTCTGCCCTTATTGAGAGGCTATCCTGGCCTTTAAAGGGTCCATTCCAGCCTTTAAAGAACGCACTCTGGTCTGACAGAAGGTCCATTCTGACCTGTAGAGGTCAGAATGAGCCTCTACAGGCCAGAAATGGCCTTTCTGGTCCGCCAGAGGGGCTTGTTCTGGCTGTAGAGAACTCATTCTGACCTTAAAGAGTTTATTCTGGCCTAACGATGAACCCATTATGGACCAGTGGGGGTCCCATTCTGACTCGTAGTGGAACCCATTCTTACATATGGACTGCTAGTTATTAACTGCTGAGGGTCTATATTGTCCCGCAGATTGGGTCCATTATTGACGGCAAAGGGCCCATTCGGTTTGTAGGGGCCCACCATCTACCTTAGGGGTCTAATTTAGCATTTTGGTAATTGCCTTCCCCCAAGTTGAACGTAGCTCTCGCGCCCCTGCCCCAGACGCAGCAAACGCCCGTCTTCCTGCTCTCAAAGCCACGTGACGGTGGTAGAGCCGCGGAAATACAGAGAGTGGCCAAGCAGTACTTGCTCTTTTGCTTAGCTCTCTGCTGAACGGTCATAAAACGAGGATATCAGCTCAGTGTGTGGACCCGACGTCGAACGGATGTCGGTTGAATGGCAAGCAATCGTCAGGGACACGGGTCGGGGCCGGCGTTGCTGTCCTATCTGGTGTACGGCGGGTAATTGTCGGGCCGGCGTCGGGCAACCGTCGGGCCGGCGTCACGTAAACTGTCGGGATGGTGTCGTGCAACCGTCGGGCCGGTGTCCGGCTGGGCTTCGGTCGTCGTCGGCGAAGGCGGACATCCATGCTGACCAGGGACGCCGGGCAGCCATCCTGCCGCTGGCGGCCCGTGGTCGGCAGTATTAGTAGGCACCAAACTTCCAACGCCCACCGCTAGGAAAATTAACGCCAATCTTTATGGCGTTGCATTGAAACGGATCAATGAATAATGCACCCTGACCCCTCCCCCCCCGGCCCCACGTTCCCCTCCCCAGCCCCGCGAGGGTTTTGCCGGTCGCTGAGCCCCGCTGACCCCGGTGACGGCCCGCAGCAAGCCAGCTCTGCTGACACAGTTATTCGAGCAATGATTCGCCAACTGAGTTTGCTTACGTTTCGAGGCTTGGTCAGAGAGGCAAGTCATGGAGACGTCAAAACAGTGGATTTGGCAGCAATGGTCTCCCCTGCCGGCTGCAGCCGGTAACACCGGAGAAGGCTACTGGTTTGCCCTCGTCCCGTGCTAACAAATGACGTCCGCAGCGCATCAGCGAAGTTTTTGCGACCGATGGAAAAGCAGGTCATTTATTTAATCATGCCAACTTTACCAACATTCATCACTGACATATGTGCTTTCTTACTGACCCAGTAACAGCACTCGCGCACGCGGAGAAGGGTAGCACAGCAACGGCCCGCTCGTTGCCGCCCCTCCGCTAGCCTCTTGGTTCCATCATGAGTCGCTCCGCCACCGGTAGTTTTACAGCGAAAATGTCGCGGCTGCCCCTTCACCCTCCTCCCCGAGTCAGCGCCGTGGGCACGCGTGTCTGGGGCGATCGTCAAGTCACGTAACGTCGGGCACCGTCATGGTCAAGGGAGTGCACTTTTAGGAGCAACATGACATGGAGCCCGGTTCGGGCGGCCATTGAGAGGCCAGCGAGTGACCCATTGTGAGGAAAGCCATCCGCTCGACGGGTTGTCGCGACGGCGACCCATGACGCCACTGGGTTTTCAATGGCTGATAGAACCGCATGCTGTGATTTGAATGGCGATGGCTTTAAGCAGGGTGTTGTTTCCTATTCAATCGACGTGGAGGGGGGGGGGGGGGGCGGGCTTCAGCCTCCTTTTCCTAACTTATGCTCACGCCTCCCCAACTTTGGGAAGAAAGTGAGCCAAGTCTGGACAAACCTATTTGTTGGCAATTTTCGGGGTAGGTCGGGGTCATTTGTCACTGTTCAGACTCCTCTCCCAGCAGCTCATTTTGTGAATCTACGCCCCTCAAGGATATCTGGCGACAGCTTACAAGAATGAAGACGGTGGCAGTGACGTCAGTGGGGCAGTGTTTTCCTTCCAGCTCCGTGGTGAGGGCTCAGTGACACCTTTACTCGCTTATATATATATATATATATATATATATATATATATATATATATATATATATATATATATATATAAGCGTTGGTTAACCAGCACCATCTAGTGAAAAGGATCAACTTTCGTCGGAATAACACCTCACAATGTTGTACAACCAGAAGCCCGAAGCCTTCCTTGCTGAAATTCAGCACCCTGACAAAAACTCGCTAAGAGCACATAAGGCAACCCACGTAATGCACGGATAGCCAGAGCGAAAGCGGTCATAGCCACATCAACTCAAGTGCAAGTGGTGCATTACCCCAAAGTAATGCTTTAAAAAACTACCTCAAAAGTGTGGCCGGCCGTCTCACTCTGACGTTTTTCCGCCCAGCGCAGGTGCGCCTTCACGGGCGCACCTGCGCTGTTTCGTTTCGTGACACTTGGACCGCTACTAAGGGTCCCGGAATGCTTCCAATGCAGTTTTGAACAGCTGTTTTGTGTTTTTGGCCTGCGCTGTCTCAAGAACTCAAGGGTCGCCTGGAGTACCGCCAGTCCGGGAGAGAGCCTCACAAAACGGGACCGGAATAGTGTGCCGCTCTTCCACCAGGCGAGCGGGGAGAGCGGAGACACCGCTTCTCCTGCACAGCAGCAGTCGCCCGCCGTACTTGCGAAATGTGGTTCATCATCTAACCAGCCGTACTTGCAACGCCTGGTCCATGCTCTAACCCACCGCCCTAGCAACGCGCGGTCCGTCATCCGGCGGCTAAAGCGTCAAGCGCTTCATGATCGTTGACTTGCATGCACTGTAGCTATGGTGGAAAGCTCGCTCTTCTGCAAGACCATGACGATGATACTTAGATTTAAGCGCGTTTCGACGACAGTAGTCATTTTGCACCCATAATTAAGTCAATAGATCGTTACATGTCGGGCGCATGCGCGAAACTGCGCATGGCGTACGCTGTTCGATCGTATGTCAGGGGACACGACTTCTCCGACTTCGGCCATTCGCCGCCTCCAGTGTTGTTAAACATTTAATAGTGACGATGCAGGGGTAGTACTGTCACATGCTGTTGGAGCCCACAGACGAACGCCGAGCTGCCCTCGAGCCGGGACGGCCAGGCGCCGCCGCGTGCTGACATCTAGCGGCCACCGGACGAGTGAGAGGCCAGGCCACCGTGGTGCGGGGCGTGTATTGTCCACGGCGACGGGGCTCCCGGCCGTGGCAGCCACGCTCGCGCAGGAGAGTCCCGTCCCATCCCCTCGCCGCCAACAGTCCTGCCGCGCACCGCGCGGCCCAATCCCCCTGGCGGGCAAACTACAAACCCGAAGTTGGCAGACACTCCGCATGGTTGTTATCGCCCGTCCCCGTCCCAATTTGAGCTAGCGTTGTGCGGTCTTTTTGCGGACGAATCCAGTCGCTGGTGTCCGACTGCGCCTCACCCCATCCGTCTAAGAGACGCATTATGCCGGATGGACCACACAACTGCACTACCTTAACAGCCTTAATAGTTTGTACAGACTAACGTGGCCATTGATCGAACTTTTACGCAAGAACACCATCCAGCACATTCTGGGCGAACATTAGCAATCTCGAAACAGTCGTTTCGGAGGTCGGCAACCATTAAGATTAACGTTCGAATCCCTAAACTTAACGTTCGAATCGCTAAACTTAACGTTTCGAATCGCTAACCTTAACGTTCGAATCGTTGACGGTCAACGCGACAGCACTCGTGGGTCTTCCACCAAGACCACACAACACACCGTCGTAGAGCTCTGCGCAGCAGTCTCGCAGGCCGCAAGGAGCCGCCCTGGAGAACCCTGCTGAAGTGCGAGCCCACACTACCAGCGGCGCCTCGCAGCGTGGCCCTGCGCCCGGCCTCTGGCCGCCGACACGACGCCCCCTCCACCGCCCACCCCCACACACAAACACAGGGTTCTGCGCACCGCTCGCCTCCGCCGGCCTGAATCGTGCGCACTTTGGCGCGGCGCAAGAGCGAGGCACATCAGTCCGCCTCCGCCACAGCCGCAGACGCGCGCTGCGCTCGAGCCAAGGTCCGGTGCGCAAGATGCCGCCGTCGACGCCCCGCGCGCGACGCCCATCCGCCTGCGCGGCTCCGCGGCGGCGCTCCTCCCAGTGTGAAGACTGAGGAGCGGTGCGCTCTCACTGGCGGAGCAACACGGTCGCACAGCGGCTAGTCCTCATTTCATTGGCGCTCGCGACGCACATGCGTTGCCATTGGTTGTGCTCCGACCGCCGCACAGCGGCTGGTCTCCTTTGATTGGTTGTCTTGTCATAGCGACGCGGTCCTGCCGCGCGCCCAAACCGAACGGCTGATCTTGTTCTCTCGGGTGACGACCAGGGGAGTCGTGCGTCCCTCAATGCATGTTCGGGTCACCCCACCGTGCTGCGGTTGTCTCGTCTGGGATCGATCGATGACGCGATCCCACTCG